AATGGTCAGACGTATGTAAATGAGCTGGTTTTCATGATATCATGAAAACAGTGAGTTCAAAACAGGCTTGTACAGTTTCCATGTATGGACTATGTAGACTGGGGAGTGAATGATATTGCTTTTTGTCCTGGAATGGCCTTTTAATACATCCAACAGAAGTCATAAAATCTCTAAACTGAAATGGTACATGGCTAAAGAGAGGTTGAAGATATACTAGCCAGAAATACTAGCCATGTTAGCATGTTAGAAGACATTCTTTAGGCCAGGCATGTCAAACTGGGGATGTTAGCAGACATTCCTTAGGCCAGGCATGTCAAACTGGGGATGTTAGCAGACATTCTTTAGGCCAGGCATGTCAAACCGGGGATGTTAGCAGACTTACTTCAGGCCAGGCATGTCAAACTGGGGACGTTAGCAGACTTGCTTTAGGCCAGGCATGTCAAACTGGGGATGTTAGCAGACTTGCTTTAGGCCAGGCATGTCAAACTGGGGATGTTAGCAGACTTACATTAGGCCAGGCATGTCAAACTGGGGATATAAGCAGACTTACTTTAGGCCAGGCATGTCAAACTGGGGATGTTAGCAGTCTTACTTTAGGCCAGGCATGTCAAACTCTGAATGTTAGCAGACTTACTTTAGGCCAGGCATGTCAAACTGGGGATGTTAGCAGACATTCTTTAGGCCAGGCATGTCAAACTGGGGATGTTAGCAGACATTTTTTTTAGGCCAGGCATGTCAAACTGGGGATGTTAGCAGACTTACTTTAGGCCAGGCATGTCAAACTTGGGATGTTAGCAGACTTGCTTTAGGCCAGGCATGTCAAACCGGGGATGTAAGCAGACTTACTTTAGGCCAGGCATGTCAAACCGGGGATGTTAGCAGACTTACTTTAGGCCAGGCATGTCAAACCGGGGATGTTAGCAGACTTACTTTAGGCCAGGCATGTCAAACCGGGGATGTTAGCAGACTTGCTTTAGGCCAGGCATGTCAAACCGGGGATGTAAGCAGACTTACTTTAGGCCAGGCATGTCAAACTGGGGATGTTAGCAGTCTTACTTTAGGCCAGGCATGTCAAACCGGGGATGTTAGCAGACTTACTTTAGGCCAGGCATGTCAAACTGGGGATGTTAGCAGACATTCTTTAGGCCAGGCATGTCAAACCGGGGATGTTAGCAGACTTACTTTAGGCCAGGCATGTCAAACCGGGGATGTTAGCAGACATTCTTTAGGCCAGGCATGTCAAACCGGGGATGTTAGCAGACATTCTTTAGGCCAGGCATGTCAAACCGGGGATGTTAGCAGACTTCCTTTAGGCCAGGCATGGCAAACCGGGGATGTTAGCAGACTTACTCTAGGCCAGGCATGTCAAACTGGGGATGTTAGCAGATTTGCTTTAGGCCAGGCATGTCAAACTGGGGACCTTCTGAGCCGAAGTGTTGCAAAGATTAGCGTTTACCCTCATTAACAGAATCAGGAGTGTTTAGTGAGACAGCATCCTGAAATATGCATTGTTTTTGCCCACAAGGACTGGTACCTAACACATGTGCTTTAGGCTGAACATGAACATGAGAATACAAGTCTGGGGACAACTTATTAAACTTTTGGTGCTGGATTGTGCCATAGACAATACACCCCCTCTAAAACCCACCCCCGAATTTCTCTAGTCCGTGCTCTTTTAACACCCACAGTACAATCAATTACAGAAGCAAAGCAAGCTAGCTAGCTAAATGCTATTGTTAGCTAACTGTTTTTCACAGATAATGGTGTTGTAATGTTTATTCTTACCACATGTAATGTGTTCTCATATGTGACACATCGATACATGTTTAATTGAAGTTTTTGGGGGCACTTTTGAGCCATGCTAACAATGTTGACGTGTGCACTGACGCCCCCTAGCTTGAGCTACACCGAGATGAGGTGTTGGATTGCTTTACCAGCTTCACATTCAATGTGTTCCCACTATTAGTAGTCTACATTCCCACCCACGCCCAAAATTCATGCCCATCCAAAACTGCATGCTGCCTTAAACGAGTCAAAATTGTTTCCTTTTTGTCGCAGATTCTTACTTATAAATCATCCACCTCCTCTTTCAGTTTACATCTGTTTCCTGTTGCCTTTTTTCTCTTTTCTTTTGTGACCAAAGCTCTGAATGTCTAAGCACACAGACACACCTACAAGCGTTTTATATTCAAACTGCATCATATCACAGGGACTCATAATAGACATTTAGCACATACTCAGGCTTCTACTGCTGTTCCAATACTTGCAATGCAATACAGTGCAGCTAACAATACAACAGTACGTTTTTGTTTACCATTATATTGGCTTTTTTTGTACTACATCCTCAGTGTGATAAGCTATATCAAGCAATCGTCTTCTGTCTAAGGACGTTACAGAACACTTTGTGCAAAATGAACATGTTTGTGTTTTCTATGGCAAGATGTATATAAAAATCTGATCCTTCCCAGTGCCTTTGAAAGGGGAGACATTATCTGTGTAT